GAGCCGAGCAGGTAGGGTGAGACACTGACCCCTTATGACCTCATTGTTTGGGCACCATGATCCAGCCATGCCTGAAGCTGGACACTCCAGACTTGTCAGTGACTTAAACTGGAGTTAGATCATTCTTAAAACTAAGAATCAGAGAATCCAAATTTTCATTTCTTACTGAGACTCCTTTGTAAGCTTGAGAAATTTTGAGCAATTTATGTCAAGTATTAAGTGCTACTTTTTTTGTTGTTGTTAATCTTCATGTGGGAATATTTTTTCCACTGTTTTTAGAGAGAGTGGAAGGGACGGGGAGAGACACAGAGAAACACTGATGTGAGAGAGACACATCAATTGGACTGGAGCCTGGTGTGGAGCCTGCAACTGAGATACATGCCCTTGATCGCAACTGAATCTGGGACCCTTCGGTCTGAGGGCTGACACACTAACCACTGAGCAAAATCGGCTTCGGCTTACAATGGACACAGTCATTAACTTCTTTTTTTCATTACAAAGGTATTTCATTAGATAAATAACCTCGTCCCTGTTCTTGTACTCCACCATTTTTTTTCTTAAACGTAATAATAATGAATAAAATACAAGCCTATTGTTATGTGAACAGAAATGTCATCAGGAATTTATTGAATGCCTTTGTGAAAAGTTCAATGAAGTCCTAACGGGTTTGGCTCAGTGGATAGAGCATCCGCCTGCGGACTGAAGGGTCCCAGGTTCAATTCCAGTCAAGGGCATGTTGCGGGCACATACCAGTAGGGGGTGTGCAGGAGGCAGCTGGTTGATATTTCTCTCTCATCGATGTTTCTAACTCTCTATCCCTCTCCTTCCTCTCTGTAAAAAATCAATAAAATATATTTTTTAAAAAAGCTTAATGGATGTTTAACAGTGACTTACTGTGTGCCGGGCACTGTTCTAAGCCCTTTACATACATTACTTCATCAAATCCTTATTATCGCCTCATTTTACAGATGAGGCTTAAAGAGGTTAGTTAAGTGACTTGTCCAAGATCAAGTTCCAGGCCCGGGAGAGCCCACCCACTTCCCTGGAAGGCCTTTGCTGACTCCCCAACAGGAAGTGCACCCTCTGCCCTGCCAGCCCATGTGCCCTGCGTGCGTCCCAGCTGGGGCTTAGTTCCCACGAGGCCCATCCACAGTTGCAAGTGGGGAGTCGATAGCCAGCCGCAGCCCTGCCAGCAGCCACCTGCCTCTTTCTCTGCTATTCATCGTCTGGAGCTCCTTCAAGATGCCCTGAAGAAACCAGGCCCCAAATGACGGATCCATGTGGTGGTGGGGGGTGGGGAGCCTAGAAAGAAGGCTCTCACCCCTGGGCAGCTGGAAACCCCCAGGGTCTCTCCGCCTTCAGGTGTGGGGAGGCACTGGGACAGAGCACCAGTGCAGCCGAACTTCTCCCAAACCAGCCGTGTGACTGTCCCCTCCCTGTGCCTCAGTTTCCTCAATGGTAAGGTGAGAAGGTTGGTTAGGGGGAGTCTCCCCAGGAGCCCAGGGCAGGTCCTGGAGGAATGAGTAAGGCCAAAGCCTCTTCACGCATCCAGGAAGCTTTTGGGGTTCCTGGATGGCAAGGTGCCTGCTGGACTTTGGTGCATGTGTTCATTCACTGAGCACCTGTTCTGTGAGGCAGTGTTTGGGGCACCGGGGGAGACTTCAGGGAGTGAGATGGGTCGTGATCCTGCTGCCCAAGAGCTTACCCTGTAGCTTTGGCTTTGGGAGGCTTCTGAGCCTTCACCCATCTGGGCTGCAGGCTTCGAACCAGGCCCTTCCACAAGCCTGATACAGAGGGAAAGCCGCGGTGGGGGTGAGGGGAGAGAGGTGTGTCCTCCCTCCAGCTCTGCCCTCTCCCCCCAGACAGCCTTTCGGGCATGAGTTCCCTCACTTCGGAGGCAGAGGCTGGACTGGATGGCACTGAAGCCGGGGCTGCCAGCCTGGGAGGGGTCCCTCCCTGTGGGGAAGCCTGCGCCCGCCGTTCATGGTTAAACATTACCCACTCTGGCCACCCCTCCCTACCACTCCTCAGTGGCCTCAGGCCATAAACACTGCCTTCTTTGGTTTCCCTCCAGGGTTGTGGCCTCCTGGGACGGGCCCCAGGCACACTTGGTGACGGTTTCCCACCCAAAGCCGGGGTCTGGAGAGGGGAAGACGGGGGTTCAGGTCTGGGGCTGGGGACGCCCACCCTAGCCACCTCCTCCCCGCAAAATGGTTTTTCTTTGTTACATCATGCATGTGGCTGGCTGGATCCTTCTGTGGACTGCCTTAATGAGCCCCGTAGGTGCTCGTCTCAGGCAGGACGCCCAACCCTCCTGGTTTCTGGGAAACAAAAATAATTCTGAGAAATCAGGGCAGTCTCACTGCCTGGGGTGCCCCACTCCAGCCTCTGCTCCCAGGCCCCTCACAAGCAAGGAGTGTTGGGCCCAGCTGTCACGCCCAATCCCATCCACCCAGTTGTTTTATTAAAAAAATACATTTTTAAAAATTTGATTTTTAGAGAGAGGAGGGGAGAGAGAAAGAGAAACATCCATGGGAGAAGGGAGCACGGATTAGCTGCCCCAATCAGGAATTGAACAGGCAACCTCTCCGTGCAAGAGGTGACACCCAAACCACTGAACCACACCAGCCAGGGCCACCCAATCCTTTGACATTATGAGCCGGCATGACTCCTGAATTCCCACAAAATCTCAGGAACCAGAATGAATCCCAGCTGAGCTTTCTTCTCATCTCCTTTTCCATCTTCAAAACAACTTTGTGAAATAGGTATGAGTTCCTTGTCAGGCCCAGCATCTACACGAGAGCACTGAGGTGCAAGGCATAGACCTGGTCAACAGAGAGCCAGCTGTCAGAGTCAACTCTTCTAACTCTAAAGCCCAGGCTGGTTTCATCCCCAATTCTAGGCGGCTCAGGGAACTATTACTCTCAATGCTCTGCTCATGACAGACATTGCTAATCAATCATGGCCTGGCAGGCATTGCTAATCAATTGAAGTGCTCTTTTGTAAAAAATACTAGAGGCCCAGTGCACACAATTTGTGCACAGGTAGGGTCCATAGTGGCTGCTGGCTGCTGGCCAGGACCTCCCTTCCCCCTGCCACCACCGCTGGCTGGGGCAGGACCAGCCTCGGGGAGAAGCCACAGGCAGTTGGCCAACCGGCCCCGCCCCCTGGTCGAACTCCTGGTCAAAGGGGACAATTTGCATATCAGGCTTTTATTATATAGGATCAGAGGCAGCTTCGCACTCCTCAGCACAGTACTCCAGGACACCATCTCCAGGAGATCAAATCCACAGTATTGGCCAGTCTTTAGATCCCACACCATCAGCCTTGGGCCTTCAGGACTTAGGCACAACTCCCAGATGCCCCAGCCACCAGGCCTCAAGAATGCATTGCGCATGCAGTTCTTGGACAGGGGTTACTGGCTCCTACCCCCCAAAAGATGTCCTTCTAAGCATGATCTCTCTCAGAGATACAACCGCCATTCAGGTTTGCCTGGGGCTTCCGGGTTTGCTAATAGAATTTTTTAATTATAAAACATTTCATATACACCCTAAAGCAGTGATGGCGAACCTTTTGAGCTCGGCGTGTCAGCATTTTGAAAAACCCTAACTTAACTCTGGTGTCGTGTTACATATAGACATTTTTTGATATTTGCAACCATACTAAAACAAAGACATATTTTTGATCTTTATTTTATATATTTAAATGCCATTTAACAAAGAAAAATCAACCAAAAAAACGAGTTCGCGTGTCACCTCTGACACACGTGTCATAGGTTCGCCATCACTGCCCTAAAGTGTAGACAATATCATCACACAGAACGGTGTTCCCACAGCTCACGCTGCAAAACACCACAGACACAACTGACGTTCCTGTGTCCCCCTCAGCCCAGCTCTCTGAGTCTTTCTCCTGCGTAGTTTAGACTTTCATTACGTATTTACATATGCATATTTGTAAACCTTACAGACGTTATATTCCAGTGATGTCACCTCTGACACGCGAACTCATTTTTTTTGCTTGATTTTTCTTTGTTAAATGGCATTTAAATATATAAAATAAAGATAAAAAATATAAGTCTTTGTTTTACTATGGCTGCAAATATCAAAAAATTTCTCTATGTGACACGGCACCAGAGTTAAGTTAGGGTTTTTCAAAATGCTGACACGCCGAGCTCAAAAGGTTCGCCATCACTGTTATTTTCAGATCTTGTGGCCGCTGTTAGAGTCACACAGCGGATGTTATGGACTCACAGGCGCGATGCTCAGTGCAGCTTTGCCTCTCCCAGGGGGTCGCAGCTGCGAACAGCTATGGAGCCCTCGTCCTGCAGCAGGCGCGGTGTAGGTGCCTCACCTGCCCTAACTCACTTCATCTTCACCACAAAACTGTTTTTACCCCCACGTTACAGATTTGGAAGCGGCGGCACGGACAGGTGAAGTTACCTACCGGAGCCCGGAGCTGGCTTGGCAGCTGTGCTTCTGACGCCGTCCTCCGGCGCCGCGCCGTCTGTCTGTCAAATGAGAACCCGATAATGTACGCACCTGCCCTCCTAGGTAAGGGCCGCGGGTTATTTTTGCCTCAACGTTGGTCTCAGAGGGTTTGGGGTGGTTGTATTATCTCCCGTGGTTCCTACATCAAGCCTGTGAGTGGGTATTTGCATCAACTAACACCCTTCACAGTTGAGGAAACGAAGGCTCAGACGGGGGAATCACCTTCTCAACGCTGCATAGCTCCCGTGTGCCGGAGGTGGGCTGGGAGCCTGGGCTCTTCCGCTCCCCTAGCCCCTCTGAGCCTCTGTCCCCACTGTCTTCCCTTGACTCTGCCCTGGCAGCCTGCCCCCCCCTCCCCGGGAACACCCACACCTGGGCTTTGATCGCCCTCCTCTGCCCCCCTCCACTGCCCTCCTCCCAGAGAAGTGGCCCGACCGGAAGGCCAGTGCATGTTAGGAAATTCCAGCCACGTGAGCCACCCGAGCTAGGGATTCTGGGCAGCCCGTGGCTTTAGAAGAAACTGAAACTTGGCTTGCCGGGGGCGGAGTGGTCACTGGGGACTTAAAAAGCCACCACTTCCTTGGGTTCCCAGAGGGCACTGGGAGGTCACAGCAGCCGAGGGACACCCTGAACCAGATGTGAGCCTTTGTCCCACCGCCCAAGCCATGCACATCTGTGGGGGTGAAGGGCTGCTGGCGGGGACGGTGAGTACAGGGATCCAGGGAGCGGGGAGGAGAAGGGTCATATGCCTGAGGGTCTCCAGTGCCTGGGTGGGGAGAACAGGGTCAGAGCTCCTCATCCCAGCTCTGTACATGGGCACATGGCCTGGGCCCCCTCCACCCCCCGGGCTTCAGTTTCCTCAGGGATCAGAATGAGGGCTTTCCAGCTCTCACATTGCAGCTCCAGCCTCCAGGTTAGACTTGGCCTCAATACTGCTCTCTCCTGACCCACCTGTTCTCCCTTCACTGCCCTTAGGGTAGCCTCTCTTACCTTCCCTAAGTATCCAGCGTGGTTTCTCCTGAAGACCCTGCCCCTCTCCCAGGACCCGAGGCCACCCCCTTCTCTCACTGCGGGTCTTTCCCCCAAGCTCCAGCCGCCCCTCCCCCGAGACTCCCCAGCCCCCCACCCCCAGCACTTGGAATGGGCCTGCTGTGGCCATGGACCTAGGAGAGGAGCGTCCCCAGCCAGGGAGGCCAGGGTCTCACCGGAGCTCCCTGCCCTCAGAACACACCTCCCAGAGGGACCTGAGTGAGGCGGGGTTGGGTTGCGGGGCCGCCAACATTCCTTCTTGCCTGACCTTCCACAGCTCTCGGCATTTGGGTTAAATAGTTCATCTAAGTATCATGGACCGCTCACCTGGGGCCCGGGGGCAGGGAAAGGTCACAGCTGTCCACCTTTGAGTCCACGCTTTCATCAGAACCAACTTCCTGCCTTCGTTCTAGGTTGTTGCCCTGCTAGAATGTGAGCAACTTGAGGGCGGGGATGGAAAGGGCCGTGCTGTGTGCCCCTAGCTCAGAGCCTGACACACAGTAGGTGCTCAATAAATATGAGTTGAGTAGGCGAATATCACCTTTGGGCCTGAGTTGAGCATGGGCTCATGGAGCAGGGTCAGCCCCCCCCCAACCCCC